TCCTCTTTCTCTTTCTTTTTCGCGCTCGTTCGTTCGTTCGTTCGTTCGTTCGTTCGTTCGTTCGTTCGTTCGCTCGATCGTTCGTTCGTTCGTTCGTTCGTTCGTTCGTTCGTTCGTTCGTTCGTTCGTTCGTTCGTTCGTTCGCTCACTCGCTCGCTCGCACAAGCACTTGAAATTTTTTACCGCTACGAGGGGAGAAAATGGAATAAAACGAAAAAAGAAATAAAAAAAGAAAAAATAAAAAAGAAAAAAAAAGAAGAGAGAGAGAGAGAGAGAGAGAGAGAGAAAAATCTGAGCCCGACCAACGGCAGTAGTATACCGCCGCCATCGCTATCGTAAGCTACCGTCGTCGCCCGTTACAGTGGTCTTCTATCTTCCTTTTTCCGCGCGTTCACGTTTCAGCAGAGAAACCAACCCGCAAATGCTTTTCCTCCATATTTTTACATTTTAGAACTCCGAACAAATCGTTTATAACTCTCTCTCTCTCTCTCTATTTCTATATAACAAATTTGAACTTTTCTAATTTTTTTTTTATCATCGAATTAACTAACCCTTTTGCAAACGAACAATAGACGGATATAAGCGTTCAACTTTTTAAAATCATATCAATCATAATATAATAATAGATAAATACGTACTCTATTAATGGGAAAATTATAATATAGTTAAGTACGTATCTATAATTAAATAAATATTTATTATAATATAATTATAATTGATGTATCGAGGTACACGATAAAAATAGAATTTAATTTGTTGTTCCGTTCTTAAAAGGAATTCAAACGTTGTTTATAATTTACTTGATCGCATCGCTGTGTGTGTGTGTGTGTGTGTGTGATTTCTTTGAAATATTATTATCTACGAGTTATATATTGAGATGTAGATTTGTAATAAACTAGCGTTGTATACAGAAAAATTATCCCTCCTAAAGGGTATCTATTATTTGGCTGTTTGGAATTTGCGTCGGATAGAATGGTCTTCATTGTATTATAAACGATTAGATTGTCTCCTATAACGGCCACGCCCGATAACAGTACATTTTTTTCTTTTTTTCTCTTTCCTATAGAATCAATGTATGTATATATATGTGTGTGTGTGTATATATATACGTTTCTATGCATATAACGCGCGTATGCGTTTAGACTATTTGTTCGTATGGACGCGTTCAATGTAGCCGCGGAGGCGGTTCTGCAATTACACGTATCATCGAGCTAGATCGAGATACAAGCACGAGTCGTTGGATAGGAGAAAAGCAAGAGTAAACAAACCGTGAATTGAAATCGAGTCCGACAAGAGAGATAGATAGATAGATAGATAGACAGAAAGAGAGAGAGAGAGAGAGAGAGCAAAGGAAAGAAGAGAGGGGTGACGGCCACCAAACGTTTAGAACCCACGGGGGTACGAAAAACTAACGAGTAAATTATGGGGTGGTTGCTCGGCCTTGCGTGCACCAACTTAGGGGAGAAAGAAACGATAGACAGATTGGGTCAGTAGATAACTTTCAGCACCATTAATACTCTATAGATGTTTACTGCTAACTGGTGACAATGTCGAATATATATCTATTGTTAAACACCGAAAAGAAAGATTCACTATGTACATTCCAAGATTTTACGTAAACGTTTTAAAAAAAAAAAAAAAAAAAAAAATAGGAACTAACAAATTGTTCGAGATTTTCTACAACCTTATTGTGTTTGAAAACTGGTATTTTTTTTTGTAAGAATGTTTTTTTTTTTTTGGGGGAGTTTTTTTATAGATTCAATTAGATATGTGGATATAATAACGATGAAACGAAGCAGAATGTAGATTATAAATTGAAATAATTACTCTATTACCTATATTTAATTAATTAAAGATACGAGATAGATATATTTATATAATAAATACGGTGATATCGTATACTTTGAAAATATTTTTTCAACGTTTCCCCCTCCCCCTCGTTTTATTTTTAATCACTTCGTTATCGCTCACGCGAGTAACACGTTATTTTTGTAAAATCTGCTAGGATAAGCGTCACTTCATATCGAAACGATACGCGGCTGATAGAAAAGAGGATTTTTATTGGGCCCAATACTATTCTTGACTTTTACAATCGCCATCGAATTTCGATGAAATTCGTTTTTGAGCTTCTATCTATATATATATATATAAAGAATATAAATAGTTATATACGTATACGTATATGCAGTCATATGAATTTATCTATCCTACCTGTCACTTTATCCTAAGCATATTTTTTCATAAAAACGAAAAACGAAAAAAGAAACATTGAAACATTCAAATGTTCGTCGATACGAATTCGTAAACGTTACATTTTATTTTCTTCAAGCTTGCCGTTTAAAGCATGACACGTGCGAATAACGTAATCGCTTGTACGTCAATTACGTTTTAACCGGCAAACGTAACTACTGACATTTCCATGGACACACACAGATGGTTAAAGAAATCTTGCAAATCATACATATGTACATCATATATATATACATAAAAAGAGAAAAAATTAAAAATATTATTTAAAAATAATCATTTCTAAGTGAAATCGCACTAAGTTCCCGTACCTATGAATTCAAATCTATCTCTTACTAATATCTATCTATCTTGTATACACACAAATCATACACATGTACTTATATCTACTAGCCTAAGCTTGTACCAGAATATAGTAATATTTCAGATGGCGAAAGAACAGATTTGATTTTAACGCGTTCGCCACGAGATGAGATTTTCGTGATCCCGCATACGTGAAGAAATAATATATTCAAAGAGGAATCTTCGTATATCGGAACGATCGCAAGGCCCTTTTTCGTTTCTTTTGAATGTTATTCTTTCGGAGTAAGGGGGCAGAGGGGGGCAGAGGGGGATAGAGAGGGGAAGGGGGGGGACAACCGATTCGTATTCGTCGATGCGTATGAAAGATCGAGACAGGGCACGTTTCAAACTCGCGATCGAGATATGTATATCTTCTTTGTAAGATGTCGCATCTTTTCAATCGTTACGATTACACGCAAAATTAAACGATTGAACGAAATAATAGGGACTTTTGGTACCTATCAACGTTTTTTATTTAGGGAAAAAAGGAAAAAAAAAAAGAATAGATCAAAATTATTTTCTACTCTCTTTCTCTTCACTTCCCTCTCTACCCTACTCCATCTCACTCTTTCTATATTTCTTTTTCTCTCTCTCTCTCTCTCTCTCTCTCTCTGTTGCATGTGTTTTTTGCAGGGCGAAGTGCAACGTCATCGCTCGTAAATTTTGAATGGCATAACGAAATGAATGCGGAAGCGCTTCGAGTTCGCCGAGTGGTCCCCTCTTGAAATGGAAATATAATGCGAATACCCGGATTTATATGGCGCCAAGTATTTTTCATTTAAAGCTGTTTCATCCTAAAGTGCTCGATATTTTCGCCCGATGCGCGTCTCTGTCGCGTTACATGTAAAATTGTTTTTTTTTTTTTTTTTTTTTTTTTTTTTTTTTGCAAAAAGCGATCCATCGAGAAATAGGTAAAAAAAAAAAAAAAGAAGAAAAAAAACAGAAGAAAAATATATGTACATGTATCGTCGAAATTAACAGATTGATTTCAAATGAAACGAACGGCTATCAAATTCATTTATTAAAAATGTCTTCTCTTTGATCCATTTTCGTCTACCTAAATCTGTAAGGTATAAAAGTAATGTTAACAAAAAAAACATGTATAATAATGAACTCACCTGATTCTGATTCTGTTCGGCCATCGCCTTTTCTTTGGCTTGTCTCTTACATTTGTACCGATGATTTTGAAACCAGATTTTAACCTGAAACAACAACAACAACAAGTAAACATATTATTTCTTTAATTATATAATTTCATAAGAGATTGATAATATATATATATATATATATATAAAATATAAACAAATATTTGTCACGTATTATCTCATATATATTTTTATTTTTATATTATAATATCATCATCTGTGAAGTTTGTAACGCGAGTATTTAAGTATAATGGGATACACTTCCATTTTCTTCATCTATTTTTCTTTATTTTTTTTCCTTTTTTCTAGATTAAACAAGAGGAGCACGTTTCGTTGGCGTGAACTGTCGTCAGGTAAGGAGGAGTACGATGCTTTCGTAAGAGGGAGCACCCTTTGTAGAAAATACTTTAAAGCGTACCGTAACCGTCAGTGATCCCCCAAGTCCCATAATCCATCTCGTAAGTCTGTTATTTCTACGAAAAAGATTTAACATTGGAATATAGTTAGCAAAGGAAACTCCCTGTCTATTTCCTTTATTTGTCCCTTCATACAAATAGGAAATATATAGTTCATCGTTCTTTTTTTTTTTTTTTTTTTTTTTTTTGACAAATGATCCAGAATAATATCGTCTCAAGAGAAAAAAGACAAGAAAAACAATATATTTTTACGATAAATAATTTTGCCGCGTGATAAGTGTCATTGAAAAAAGAAAACAACATGAAAAACAATATCTATAGGAATACAAAATACCTGCAATTGATCGTTGTTTTTTTTCTGTCACATATAAAATTAAAATCAAAAAAAAAAGAAAAAGGATTACTTTTAAATTAATTGGATACGATTAGGATCCAATTTATATTACGACTAGGGGTGCCCCGTCACACGTTGCTGTGGCTCACAATTAGTACGATACACACGTCTTTAAGTCAACGAATTACCTTATACCGCCATCTGTTTAGAATCTTATCGAACTAACAGAGATAATCATGACTCTTTATTAATAAAATAATATTGCGATTAGAAATTGAGATACAAACAATCCTATCATTCAAGTTGGATGAAACTGCACAGAGTGTGTAAAATTTAATTAAAATCGGTTCAGTAGTTTAGGAGTACATTGCGAACAAACAACGTGACACGTAATTTATATTATATTAAGATAAGTAAGCAAAAAAAAAAAGAAGTTACAGTTAAATCATTTTTGCAGTAAACTAAAAGATTTATTATCAACAAATAACGAATATAAATATATGAATGATGTAATATGTAACAATGTAAACGAGATTATGGGAAAATAAGGAAATAAAAGAAAAAAAAAAAAAACAATCTTGTAAAACTAGTACCCAAACTCGAGAGTGTGGTTTTTACACGCATCTAAAGTGAGATCGGATCCGGGCATCTGCTTATGACATGATCGCCTTATAATTCGTTCTAATGCTCAATGCGGCGCATTACGAGCCCTGCGTCTGCAAGGACGTCCTGATCGCGTTTTTCGAAACAATGGACTCTCCTCTCTCTTGAGCTTCTCCAACCATAATCCGCTTCTCTTTCGCATCTCTTTCACGCCTTTTTGAACGGGGAAACAATGCACGACATTATGAAAAAAAAAGGCGATAAACGGGGATAATCGCCGATCAAAAAGGAAAAGTGAATAAAAGAGAAAGAGAGATCGAAATGGTTAGATATGAACGATACAAAATTCTAATGATTCATATTGCAGAAAGAGAAGAAAAAAACACGCAAATATGTCGTCTTTCCATCTCTTTTTCTCTAATCGCTAATGGATATAACATCATAACTCGAATAACGTAACGTATTATACGCATATTTTCTCATAAATACGTTGCATGCGTATAATGTTACGTAGAATAGATAGAAGAATGTTTCTTGTATATTCTTTTTTGTAATATTTTTTCTTACAATTAGTCTCAAGTAAGAGAACATTTTCTCTATCTCAAAGAACGAACGAATGAAGTGTTGTGTCATTAAAAATCGTTACAAAAAAAAAAAAAAAAAAAAAAAGAAAAGAACCTTGATCTCATCGAAACGTAGTAAATAACAAATGTCGAAGATTGACGTGTTTTAAATCCTATCGTATAAGATGTTGTTTATTTGGTTTTTTTTTTTTTTCTAAATGAACATTTATTTCTACAGATATTGGTATTTTTCAATAAATCTCATATTTACTTGAAAATATGATGGAAATAGGGAGAGAAGGGATGAGACGAGGAGGAAATGAGAAGGTATATATTATAATTCCGTTAAAATACCTGAGTTTGCGCGACGGCAAGACACGGTAGGAGAGTCTGCACGGTGGTATCCACGTGAGAACGAAAAAGATTCGAGAAAGATGAACGGGGAGAATTGTTATTTCAAGGGAAAGGGCCCGTCAGTCAGTCTGTCCGTTTGTCCGTACATTCGTTCGTTCTTTCGTTCGTCCACCCAAGCAACCATTCCCGCCTGGCCGTTCATCGCTCCCGCAACGATGCGGTGTGTAAACAGAGAAAGTTGAACGAGATAGGGATATAACTGATGTGTACGTAGGCTATAGGGGGGAAGAGATGAACCAGAGGAAGAGAAAGAAAAAGAAAAAAGGAAAAAGAGAAAAGAAAGTAGGGACGATTGAGAGTCCAGTTTCCGACGAGAAACTATCTACCTCATCGAATCTACAAGGATCTCCAAATGATTTCCATTTCAATTTCAAAGTATATATATANCTAAACTATTATCAAATTTATTTTAATAAATAATGAACATTTCAAAGTATATATATATATATATATATATATATATATATATATATATATATATATTTATTTCACACATATATGCATATATATTTTGCTATTTTTAAATACAATCTCATTATCGGTCTTATATTTCCTTGCGATATTCCTAGGGAAAGAATTTCGTTTTCTTTTTCTTTTATTTACGAGAAAAATAATAGAAGAAGACGTTTCTCTCTCTCTCGTGAAGAAAAGAAAGAAAMTACTTTTTAAGGACGCAGGAACACAGGCACTCGTGTGACCCTTTGCCTGGAAGCTTCTCGTTATATCAGAGCGTCGCGGTAGAGTTTCACGTACGTTTTTGCAATCTTTGGCAGCAGCAATAAGCATCACCTGCAGTAGCAGCAGCAGTGGCAAGCAACGACGACGGCAATAGGAGACTTACGTAGGAGTGAGAAAAAGGGAGAGAAAGAAAGAGTGAGGGGAAGAGGGGAAGGGAACGAGAGAGGAGACCTTATCTAAAAGCCACAAAGAGGTGCTAGACGATGGAAGTACCTCTCGGTGCTCCCGTTCGTTAATTCCTTTTCCACCGATAATCCACTCGTCGAAGGTCGTCGAGATTTGGCCAAGAGCAGAGAAGGCAAAAGGCAGCAGCAGCACCCACCATCACCACCACCACCACCACCACCACCATCACCATCACCATTACCACTAGCAGCAGCAGCAACAGCAGCAACAGCAACAGCAGCCACTGTTGGCAGGAGGAAACGACGCCAGTAGGAGGAACGCCGTGCCGACTTGAAGAGGTCGATAAACACGCGTGGCCCACTTACATTCGACTATATATATATATATATATATATATATCGAATATATGTATATATATATATACTCGTACTGTGCACGAGCATGGAATCGTAAGAAAGAACGGAATACGAAGAGAATATGGTATTATAATATGAAGAAGAAATATATTTCAAAAATTGTTCAGGTATTTTTTGTTTGTTTTTTTTCCTCTCTCTCTCTTAAGAGAGAAAATAACGCATCTCATTGTTCGAGAAAGAGATTCCTATTGAAGTCAACTTTTGAAGACACGAGAGAAAAAAGGGGAGGAAGAAACTTGAGATGACTGAGCGGTTAAACTCTCGTTTTCCGGCAATTAGTTCGTAGCCCGTCGGGCAGGTTCGTTTCGGTAGCAAGAAGAAAAGCACCATCTTTCCCTTTGTCTCTTTCTCTTTTTCTCTCTCTCTCTCTCTCTCTCTTTGACCGACCTTTTTTTTTCTTTCACGATGGTCACCACAAATCAACGGAGGTGCTTTTAAAAGGCGTTTCATTTACCTACCTGTGCAAGAGTCAAACCGTAAGTTAATCGGAAGTTAAAGTTAAGCCATCATCTCCCGGCCGGTCGTTGTCTGTGTTAAGTAAACTCGGTGTGTGTCGGACCCCCCGTTGCTTTTACGGTGCCCTTTTTGCGATCTCGATTCGTGCGCACGCCGAAGGTAAACACGAGAAGCAAGCCCTAGTACGAAGCCTACTCGAGCGTATCTAAACTTTTCATCTTTCTAAACTCTCTTCTATCTTCAACTACCGTCACTAGATTTTTTTGTGCCTAACTTTAATTGTTTACTTTCTTATCGTGTTTTTTTTTTTGATTTTTTTTTTTTTTTTTACAAAGATCTTTATTATATACTTTTTATCCCATATATGTTTGTATTATACATCGATGACAACAATGATCAATGTAACAAAAGATTTATTATATAATAAGAAGTTTTTTGAAACTTTGAAGTTTGATTGTGGCCAAGTCCATATGTTGTACACTGACATAGTATGTCTAAATATGTTAGCTCTCACCCGAACGAACATAACCCGCAGAAGCCACGTTATAACCCTACGTAACCCTATTGTCGTTGGTTAGGAACGCAGCAACGAAAGCATTTTAAGGGGACCGGTGCAATGGGCCGTGTCTCAAGGAGCAACCACCGTCTGTCTAATTCTTCGTATATTAGCGGCTTCGGGTTCTCGCCTACGGAAATAGTTATTTTCTCTCTCTCTCTCTCTCTCTCTTTTAATCGTTTCATTGACCGAACAACTATGGGGTTTAAACTCTTTTGACGAATAATCATCGATAAGAAAATGATTATATTTTCTTTTATACTCTATCATTATTATTAAATAACAATAAGACTAGAATGTTTTTTAATAGTGAAAAGAAATAAATCGATTTAGAGATCATAGAACACCGATAAATCATATTCAATCAATGATTGTCTAATTGATTGGTATCTCGTTGTATGACACGAGATATGTAATAATACTTGTTCATGAGTT